TATATCCCATGGTAAGAGATAGCTCCTAGTGAACCGTCAATCTCTACAAGATGCAAAAACTTTGTCTGAGCAGTGACAGACATGTGTAACAAGTTAAATGTTTCATCCTCGAAGTTATTGTACACGATGCCTTCGTCACGTCCGCTAGTGCAACCGATCCCATAGTGACACCCCTTGACAGCGACCGAGGAATCCTAAAAACTCGGAGTAACCATTTTAGGATGGGTCAAGGGCCTCCACGCATCTTCCTTCAAAGAATATAGTTCAAATAGTTCAGTTGTATCCACAAAATTGCCTTCCTCATCTCCGTACGTAAAGATAACTGTTCTTACAACCTTAAAATCCCAAGACGTGGGATCACACTCGATAGGGCGTGTATGAAGGATTTGAACAGGTAGGGGGGCCTCCATTGAGCAGGCCGGGAGGATCTTGAACTCTTCGGTTAGGGAATTCCAGAGCATGTACGGCCCATTCGAATTCGCTAGTACTTCCAAAATTTTATATTATGTCTTATTCCAAATACATTTACTACTTGTAATATAAACAATCAAAATTGTCAAATAACAATTTAAATTTTAATTAGAATAATTGAAACATTAAAACACATGACTTAATATAAAATTATTTCAAATAATTTCAAATAAAACGTTTTAAATCATATTTTGATGTTTTAATCATGAATGTCATGACATAGTACTCAATTTTTTCTTATAATATTCCTTGTGTATATTATAATTAGTAACTTTTATGATATTAATCTACTGAAAAAAAAAATTTACCGGTATCCAAATTTTTAAATGAATGTATTGGCACAACTACAAAGTAAGATTTTTTTTTCTGTACGAATATTAAAAATTCTTGTAATGCAAAGTCAATAAAAAAATTAAAAAAAAATAAATAATCAATTGAACTAACCTTTTATTGAAACCAAACATTTATCTATTTAACTGGTTTTTTTTTCTAACGTCATAACATATTAATCTTTCTTATTCTTATTGTATTATTTTATTATAAATATATTATTCAATTAACTTATGGTTCTCATTGTTTTTTATTATTTACCAAATATTTGTATGTTATTTTTTTAATTAATTTTTTAAATATTATTGTATTAAAATGTTTGTATGCTATTTTTTTATTCATTTTTCTTAGTATTAAAAATAGTTATTCAACATAAAAATATCAATGTTTTATGGAAAAAAAATATTAGTTAAGTGCAAATACATAGTTTTACTAGAAATACTTTGTTTAAATTATTCATTAAAATATATGCATGATAAAATTTAACTTTATCTGTTAGTAGTATGTACAGTATAAATGTTCTTTTATGGTAATATGTGTTACATAAATTAATCTACTATTTACTTTAATTGTAATAGAAATCAAAATATAGTAATTATAAAAATAAAATAAAATAAGTAATACTCGATTTTAAAATCTTGAATTTCAAAATATGTGTACTTGTTAGAAAATATATAGTTATAATAATTATAATTAATTAAATAAAAATAAATATTACATTTACTGTAAATTTATTTCAATAGACTATCTTATTATAAATCATAGATAAATTTAATTTTTCAAATCACTTCTTAAAACTAGGAAACATAAACCTTGTAAAAATATTGACAAATATATAAAATAATGTTAAGATAAAAGTAAAATATGAAAGAATCATGATTTTACAATTTATTTAAAATAGAATTATTATTTTTTTCACTTTTTAGATAGTCTTGAAAATCCATGAACGAAAATGATAATGCATGTATGACAGTGTTAGAAGATGTAACAATAATTTATTTTGGACAATATATAGATAAGCACCTTCAATTAACCAATGTTACGACATTATATATAGATAGATAGGAACCTTTAATCAATCAAAGATGTTATTGTTCCTAATTTCAAGTAATTGTTTTTTAAATATTTACAACTTTAAAGATATTTTCAAATATTTATATCTCTTATATCATTATATACAGAGAGAAAATATATATCTAAATATTACAAAATATTACACGTGCAAATATAATTGAATTTGCAACCGTTATAATCAAAATAATAGAGAACGAAACATTCAACCACAGTGTCAGCTTCCAATCAACAATAAGCAATGATAATTACAAATTATAGTTATAGTAAATTCAAGTTATTATTCAAATAGTAAGACACAAAAGGAAGACATTAAAAAAGCTATTATTTTTACAATAATAATGATCATTATTTTAAGCATAAGGATGATATTACTAAATAACAAAATCAAGGACGACATAGATTTCTTCAACATTTCAAATTTCAAAAAAAAAAAAATATTAATTTTATTTTAGATTTTCTAACCAATATTTTTTATTTAGTTTTATTTGTCATAAAGTTCTGTTAATAGTATTAAATTTTATATTTTATCATAAAAATATACACAATTTTTTGTTAAATAATGAAAAGAAAATTATATTGTGCTATTAAATTAAATATATAATAAAATTAATTTTGAGTAAAAAAAATTAATATCACGTGCGTAGCACGTGCATCTTCCTAGTACAATAAAGAAATCTGAGACAAAGAATATAAATCAAGAACAAAGGCATATTAGGAGAAAAATCATATCAACACTACGAAATTTCTTATTAAATAAAAAAAGAAAAATTGTATCAATACACAATAAACTATAATATTACTCCACAAACCTTTGTAAGCAGCGGCCGATGGGAATTATGACTAACCCTGTGATGGGTTAGAGATTATGGATTGGTATGTGCATGTCATTTAACCCTGTCTCCGAAGGAGCTAGCAAAGAACAAATCATCGAATTCTATGTTGAAGTTCGGCACTAATGATATCTTTCAACATGCCAAAAACTAACTGTTACTCTACTAGTAGTAGCCGTTGTAAGGTTTGATGCATACAATAATTTCTCATTTGATTGATAATCATTTAAGGGCTGTCTTCGAAGGAGCTAGCATAGAACAAATCATCGACTTCTTTTGTTAAAGTTCGGCACTAATGATATCTTTCAACATGCCAAAAACTAGCTGTTACTCTACTAGTTGTAGCCGTTGTAAGGCTTGATGCATACAATAATTTCTCATTTGATTGATAGTCATTTAAGGGCTGTCTTCGAAGGAGCTAGTATAGAACAAATCATCGACTTCTTTTGTGCTTAAATCAAGCAAATTAAAAGTGACTGCAAACAGAGAGTGTTGAATGTGTCATAAGTGAATATGTCAGTTTAGTGATTCTATGATAATTAAAAGATACTTTGGACATTATTAATTAGATGATTTTACAATGGAATAATCAAGGAATGGATCTTCGAGAGATGAACATTTTCTTTGAGGTGCGTTTTCATGCTTACGGTTGTGTTCTACAGTTCAATGTATGTGTGTCTGTGCTCATGTTTTCATTAACGATGGCTCTAGTGAACCATAGTTGAGATCATGTAGAATTACCTATTTGTTATCGCCTATTGGTCTGCAACCGGCATTGATATTTTTCTGTGGAAGATTTTGATTATTTCAAGAGTAGACTCCCTGCATTTGTCTCGAGATGTCAAACGGGGGCAATACGAGTGCGGTCCCACACAGGTGAAGCGCACCATAAGAGGGTTAGCCCAAATGAAGCCCAAGTGAGGTTCCATCCCAAAACCAATTGGTGATGGGAGGAGTAGCCCACTAGACTTATAAACTAGGCTCATTTACCCTATCAAATCAATGTGGGACAACTCACAAGTGATATTCCCAACACGAGACGCAGTACAACTCGTTATTAATTGGATTGCGTGCATCGTGACCATAAGTCAGTTTAAATTTCTACACGGGGTTTGACTTGTTTTTATTTATTGCGTTTTGTAGGCAAAATGAACTAAAGACCTCATAATGGGACTTGTTGTCGAAGTGATACATGTTATGTACTTCTGTTTCTACAGTAATTTGAAGTTCTATGAACTTTGATGATCATGTTAAATTGGTGCTTCTATGTATTTTGATGCTCATGTTAAATTGCATTTTTTTTTTTTTTTTTTAAATCAGCTACTGAACAATAAGTTAAGCGTGCTTTGTAAAATAGAAGCAAAGTAGCAACTTCTGTAACTATGATAAACTATCTATTTTTTATTTATTTCTTTATTTATTTTTGTGTTTTTAGTATAAAGTGTGTTAATTTACAGCCAAAAAATGATTGGATAAATATTTGAGTCTTTGAGTTTGTATTTGAATATGAGTTAAAATGCAAATGATTAAAGTAAATTCGATATAAAAGTATATTGATAGTTAATGATTGATTAAATATTATTTATTTATATTATAAACATTAAAGAGATTTAAATTGAATTAAAATTGAGTTAGAATTTTGATTTAAAAATTCGTAATGAATTATGATTGTGATGGGGGTAACTTATTCTGCCAGCAAAATAAATAAATAAAATAAAATGCCATTTTCCAATATAAAATGGCAAACAAGAGATTTGGAATTTTAAATGGAAAATGTAACATCTTTCGAGTATCAAATAGATAAATTATATATTTCAAAACGCGAAGTAAGGTAAATTTTATTGATAATCTAGTTGATAGTTTAAGTTCTTTCCAATTTCAAATCGGCAAATAATCTCAAATTAATATATTTTTTCACTAATTTTTACGTCGCTTATATTAAAGAAATAAAAAGATTAGCAAATAAAAATTATACTATCTAGCAACAAAAAAATATTTACATAGTATAATTTGTGAAAGATGCAATTGTTCTAATGTGATACGTTATATAATTATAAATATATATAAATATAATGCCATGTAAACTAAATTGTTAAAAACAGTAAATGAAATATATAATATATAAATATTGATAAATAAACTAAAATTAACTATTCAATCTTTTAAAAATCATATTACAATGGCCAAAATACAATTCAAATAACTTTTTGGGGCCAAAAGACAATTCACATAACAATTTGCGTTTATGCGTTTATGAATAGCGGAAACACATAAATTGAGTTTGCGTTTTTTCTGATGGCTGTGAAACCCAAATCTCGGGCGATTATCGAACCCCTCGCCGAGACCACCATCGACTCCGGCAACTCTCCGATCAAATCCATCGCCGTCTCCAAGCAATCCGAAGATCAAATCCTAATCTACATCGCCGCTGTCTCTGGCGTTCTGTCACTGTACTCCATCCGTGTGCCCGGAAATGCCCCTCCCGAAATCGCCTTCGTCAGACGGCTCACCGTGCCCGGAGGCGGCCCACCTAGTCCAGTCGTACCTCTTTCCGGCATAGGGAAAGTTCTCATCCTCGCCGGTGGATATATGTATTTGCTTGACTCGGGTTTACTTGGACCAGCTAAACGAATGGGTCTCTTCAAAGGCGTGACTGCACTCTCTCGTAAGCTTCGGAGCCAGAGATGGAGCTCCAGCCTTAACACTGACGGAGGTACGGAGACTAATTATATGTATAGTAATGACAATAGTACTGATAGCAGCAATTTGTTCGTGATTGGGATCGGGAAAAAGCTGGTAATGGCGGATTTGATTCCGAATGGGTCTTTCGTTATTCTAAAGGAGATTCAAGGGCTTGTTGATGGGATTATAGGGAGTTTACTGTGGGCTGATGATAGTGTATTTGTTGGTACCAAGACTGGGTATTATCTGTATAACTGTGTGGAAGGACGATGTGGGATGTTATTCTCTCTTCCGGATTCTTCCGTCGTGCCGCGGATGAAGTTGTTAGTCTGGGAGTCGAGGGTTCTGTTAATGGTTGATAGTGTGGGTATTATTGTAGACATGGAGGGGCAGCCGGTTGGAGGGAGTTTGGTGTTTAGGGAGGCTCCGGATTCATTTGGGGAAATAGGAAGTTATGTGGTTGCCATTCGGAACTCAGTGGTGGAATTGTATCACAAGAGAACAGGTTTTTGTTCACAGAGGTTTATGGTCGGGGATGGTGGTGGGGGATCATGTGTTCTGGCGGATGAGGATAATGAGATTGGGAAGCTTGTTGTTGTTGCAACTAGCTTAAAGGTACTTAATAAATTGGAAGATGAAAAACAATGTATTTCTGAATGTATTTATTGATTTTCATTTGGCTGAATTTCCTGAAAATTTCTTGTGTGCTAATCTGCTTATGTGATTGTTTCTTGGGATACCATACTTGCCACAACGTATTTAAATTTGGTGTTACTTCCGAATGAAATTCAGGACGAAGTTTATGGTAGTTCTGCATGATGCTTGCAAAAGGAAGCTTTTGTTTGTAGCAACTAGCTAGTGTGAACCACTTTCAACAGGAGTAATGCATGAGTCCTTTAGTTGATTTTAATTGGTAATTTGGAGTCTAAACAAAAGAATCAGTCTCCCTTTTCTTGTCTTTTTGAAATTCTTATTTTATCTTCATGATATCTTGAATTGTTTCATCATGAAGCTTGTTTGCTATGGAAAAGTTTCTGGAGAAGCACAACTCAAGGATCTTCTTAGGAAAAAGAGCTTCAAGGAAGCTGTATCTTTGTTGGAAGAGCTTGAGAATGAAGGCGAAATGACAAAGGAGACACTATCTTTCATACATGCGCAGGTTGGATACGTCTTGCTTTTCGACTTGCATTTCAAGGAAGCAGTAGATCACTTCTTGGTAGCAGAAAACATGCAGCCTTCTGAACTTTTTCCTTTCATCATGCGAGACCCAAATCGCTGGACACTGCTGGTATGTAAGGAATTATTTGTACCATATGCTCTTTATGTTTACATAATGGATGCATAAACCAAGGAGGACTAATAAATACTAAGATAAAGCTAGCTGGTTGTACATTCATGTGTTTTATGTGTTTGCTGCTTGTATCAGGTTCATTATATCTTTACTTGATAGTCTGTTGCTTGCCTCGTCGCCTCTCCATTATTATATTCTCACAGACACACATAATTTTTGTTTTTCAATACTTTTCGCAATATTTTTACTTGATATATGTAAAATTGAATTGTTTGATAACTTCCAGGTTCCCAGGAACCGATACTGGGGCTTGCATCCTCCACCAAAACCTCTTGAAAATGTTATAGATGATGGCTTGTCAGCTATTCAAAAAGCCGTTTTTCTTAAGAAGGCAGGATTAGAGACTACTGTCGATGATGAGTTTCTTCGTAATCCACCTAGTAGAGCAGATCTGTTAGAGTCTGCCATTAAAAACATGATAAGGTGGGTCTGAATTTATGTTTTTGGTGTTATTTAATAACAATTATCTTTCTCCCCCTTTTCTTTCTTTCTTTCCTCTTTCTTTTTGGTGGTTCAAGATGCAAGAACAGGTTGAGTTTCTCTTTATGTGTGCGTTAGTTATTCTCAGTTCACTGTTCATTGGTGTTGCATCATCAGCTGATCAAGTTCTTACTAGTTATACTTGCCGAACTGTCACTTAATTTCTACAGGTATCTGGAAGCTTGTCATGGAAGAGACCTTGCCACGTCAGTGAGAGAGGGAATCGATACGCTTCTGATGTACCTGTATAGAGCTGTCAATTGTGTTGAAGACATGGAAAAACTTGCATCTTCTGAGAATAACTGTGTAGTGGTATGCATTTCCTCTCATTTTTCCTCCACTTGGCTGAATGGGCCGTTTGTTTTAATTTGTCATTTTCTGTTTTTGGGGTGAGTTCCTGGGTATGCCTTACCGTTAAGGAATTTATTATTTGACAGTTCCCAAGGGTCAAGAGAATGATTGCTGTTAGTTCATACTACTTAGATTTCGTAAAAGTTAGTTAGCATGACTTGCTAGGTTGAATGACTTTTCTCTTTGGCAATAAATTAGTTGACCCTGTGAAAATGGTAAAACAGTCCACTTTCTTATTTACTGTGAATATTTGGATCTCGTATAAGTGTTTGTAATGGCATAAATATCTTGTCAATGTGAGAAAAATGAACCGCTTCAACAATGACCATGGATTTCAATGGGCAGTGCAGGAGGAGCTAGAAGCATTACTCAGTGAGTCTGGGCATTTACGCACTCTTGCTTTCTTGTATGCTGGTAAGGGGATGAGTGCTAAGGCTCTTTCTACTTGGCGTATGCTGGCAAGAAATTATTCGACAAGCGGCTATAATAAAGATCAACATGATGAAACTGATTTACATGATCCATCTAGAAAGTTCACCTTAGGTAGGGAGACTGCTGCAATAGAGGCGACTAAGATTCTTGAGGAGTCATGTGATCAAGATTTGATACTCCAGCACCTTCGCTGGGTTCGTTCGCTTTTCGAATTATTTTTTCTTCTCCTTTTTTCTTTTACTTACTACAAGTTTCTGATTAGTCAAAGAAATGTCATTCGTTATACGTCAATTTTTATGTTTGGTATATCTCATTGCTGATTGTCTTTTGTTTCCTTTATAGATTGCAGATATCAACCAGGTGCTTGCAGTACAAATTTTGACGTCAGAGAAAAGAACCAATTTACTATCACCAGGCAAGACAATTAGTGTCTATAGAACTCCTCACTTAAGTAGCATTAGCACGTGTAGTTTAAATGACTTTATGTTATAATATTTTTAGTAATGGTGCACGACATTCTTTTCAAAGGCTGTATGAAACCAACTTGCGGTTAAAATTTTTTGTCTTTGACAGATGAAGTGATTGCTGCAATTGATCCCAAAAAAGTGGAAATCCTTCAAAGGTACGCAGCCTGGTTGTTGTTTACCTAGTGCTTCTAACTTTTACTAAAGATTGTAATTTAGTTGCGATGATCGGTTTCATAGGTGTCTGTATTAGTCACAAACTCTATTTGCCCACTATGCTGCAGATATCTCCAGTGGTTGATTGAAGACCAAGACTCTGATGACTCACAATTCCATACTGCTTATGCCCTTTTGCTCGCCAAGTCGGCACTAGAAACTTATGAAGCGGAGCTTTCATTGCTAGACTCTGTTGGACTGCTTGAAAATCAGAACAAAATTTCTCAGCTTGAAAGGAGTTCAATTTTTGATAGTCCTGTTAGGGATAGACTGCAGATTTTCTTGCAGTCATCAGATTTATATGATGCTGAAGAGGTTCTTGATACGATTGAAGGATCCGAGCTATGGCTAGAAAAGGTATGATCCACATTTATTCTACTCGGAAAATAAAATTTTTTAAATCAGTATTTACAGTTGCTTTTTGAGAATTCTTTCACCTTATTCGATTGGTGAACTGGCATTTAAAGCAACCGAAGCTGGTGAAATCTCTTTTCCCTTAGTTTTGGCTGAATAGCCCTGTTGTGCTTGACAGGCTATTCTTTATAGGAGGCTTGGACTAGAGGCACTAGTACTAAATATCTTGGCCTTGTAAGTTTCTTCGTACTATTAACTACATGTCTAAAACTATTGTGTAATTGCTGAAGCCTGAAGAATATGGGGAGATTCAGTGGGCATCTGCAATGGATTAATCATGATTAGAGGTGATGTAAATGCTATCTATTCTTTTTTAGAAAATTGGAGGATTATGAAGCTGCCGAACAATATTGCGTGGAGATTGGCAGACCGGATGCTTATATGCAGTGAGTAATTTTGTCTCTCGTTATTCGTTGAATGTTTTGGTGAAGTGCTTTTCTGTTATCTACGTTATTTATTTCACACGCTTGATCATCAGATTACTCGAGATATATTTGGACCCTGAGGATGGCAGAGGGCCCATGTTTAAAGCTGCTGTTCGTCTTATCCACAATCACGGGGAAATGCTCGATCCATTACGAGTCTTGGAGGTACATTTTCCATTTTTTTGCTAAATACATGAACAGATTCAAGAATTCGTCATGCGATTTAATTGTTTAATGATTTGCCGTTTGATGATAGAATGGGGTAATTTTGAGATTTCCTTTTGCAGAAATTATCCCCAGAGATGCCCCTCCAACTGGCATCCGACACAATATTAAGGCTTTTGAGAGCCCGGTATCATCACCATCGTCAAGGAGAGGTTATTGTTTTTTATTCTTTCTTTGATTCATATTACGCGTGGGGGTAAAAGGAAAACTAATATAAGGAAAAACTAATTTGTTTACTTGAGATGTGTTTATCGGAATGACCTTTTGTAAGTCTCTCCCATCGTTTTATTTTCTTGGCAGATTGTGCGCAATTTGTCGCATGCATTAGAAGTTGATGCAAGACTGTTGAGATTGGAAGAGAGGTCCCGAAATGTGCAGATTAACGACGATAGCACGTGTGATTCCTGCCACGCACGTCTTAGTACCAAACTATTCGCAATGTATCCAGACGATTCAGTTGTTTGTTACAAGGTTCGTTATTCCTCTTAGACTGTGTTTGGTAAGCATATAAATTAGCTTATAGCTTATTTGATTAGCTTATAACCTTCCTGTTTTAAATAATCTTGGTTTGGTAGGACGAACTTTTTTGAAATAAGCCCATTGATATTTATTGATATTTTTAGCTTATCAGATAATTTTACCAAGCACTCTTCTATCATATAAGCCAACTTTTCAGCCTTAAGTCATAAGCTATCAGGTATAAGCTCGAAATTCACTTAAAAGCTAAAAGCTAGTTTATTAGCTAAACCTATCCTTATTCAAATTTCGAGACACACACACACACTTCCGGCTGATTGGGCTTTCGGTCAACTTTCCATGGCAGTGTTACCGCCGTCAAGGTGAGTCCACTTCCACCAGCGGCCGAGATTTCAGAAAAGAGGTTATAATTAAACCCGGTTGGCTGGTTACTCAATGACAAAAACCAAACATTTCCTCAAAGCCCCCGAGACGTGGCTGATATGGCGTAATTGAATCCAATTCGCTTCAGTATTTGGATGGTTGAGATTGGCTCGTTAGATTTACTTGTCGACTTAGTTGAAGCTGGTCACCGAAGTCGGGACTTGATGCTGACTTGGCATTTGTTATGGAGAAAGAGAGAGAACCATATTGAAATATATTGTGACAAGTAGAAGAAGAAGCATTTTTAGATGGTTCATTTGAGGGAGGAGAACAAAGGTACTGCTGATCAGTTGTTGTAAAATGATCTAAACTGTGCACTTGCTGAACTACATTATTTTTATTCTGTTTGTATCAAGAAATGCGAGAAAAAACGGAAAAGTGATTCGTTGTTGCAAATTTATATAAATGTGTGTGATCCAATGGTGAAAGCTTAATTAGATCTCAACTCTTGAGATAAAGTATTTACTTTTTATTTTTATTTTTTTTATTAAAAAAAAATTAAATTATTTATATATTAAAATAAATGATATATCCAAAATCCAACATATGCAACGTGTGGAGGCAATAGCATCCCGCCACCTCAGCATCCTCCCCTTCACTCAACCTCACCTTATCCAATCCCTTCTCCCTCCAAAATCTCAAAATCAACTCTCAATCTCAAAAAATTCAACCAAAGAAAAGCAAAAATAAAAAATGTCGCTCGCGATCCCAACAAACCTCTCCAAATCCATCTCAACCCCCAAGTTCGCCTCCCAATCCGCCGGAAAGTCTCGTAACAACGCCGCCGCCGCCGTCGTGGTATGCCGAGCGAGCTCCGAGGAACCCTCCTCCGCAGCCACCACCTCATCCTCCCAGCTGAAGGCCTTCTCCGCTGCGCTCGCCTTGTCGTCGATCGTCCTCTCCGCGCCGGTGTTGCCGGCGTCCGCCGACATCTCTGGGCTGACGCCGTGCAAGGAATCGAAGCAGTTCGCCAAGCGCGAGAAGCAGGAGATTAAGAAGCTGGAGTCGTCGCTCAAGCTCTACGCACCCGACAGCGCCCCTGCCCTCGCCATCCAAGCCACCATCGAGAAGACCAAGCGCAGGTAGAAATACTGCTTAATCCCTTTTCATCTGTTGTTAATTTTGGATCCTGCTCTTTTTTTTTTATTATTATTATTATTATGTAAATGTTTTTACTTGAGAGTATATGATGCTAATCATATCCAGAAAGATCTCAGATTAGCTCCCATAAAGTGTTATTATAGTTCAATCATTTTGTAATGTAAACCTGATTGCCATGAGAGTATTGTGTGTCATCAGTATAGGATTTTCATTGTTGATAATCCCTTATACTTTTTAGTTGCTGATTGAATCAGTATTGGGTCTCATCGGTGTTTTGATCTCAGATTTTTTTTCTCTACAAGTTCTTCATTACCCGTCACGAATCTGTAACTTACCGTGATTCTTGAATGCATAAACATGTATGGATTGTCTCATTCATCCATACAAAATTTGTACCTTGCGTGTATATATTGTCGAAAATGTTTCGACTTGGGTGGGTATAGTAAATCATTATTCAACCTTATGCTATGCGTAGATTTCAGGATTATTCACAAAGGACAGAAGACAGAACTTCGTATTTTAGTTCTCAGATAAGTGAGGCACTTGAAAAAGATTATGGTTAGTAAACCTAACTGATAGGCTAGCTTATAGTTTTTAATTGAATTTAGAGCTTGTAGCTGATAGCTTATGACTTATGGCTGAAAAACTAATTATATGATATAAATGTTTGGCAA